CTTGAGCTGAAGAGCTGAAGGACAGCGCCCAGGCCCAGAGTTCAAGCCCCACAACCGACAAAAAAAAAAATTATCTTGCCCAATCTTTTAGAAAGCAGGTAATATCTTTATGGTAGAAGAAATTAGTACCTGCATATGATTCTGAAAAGTTTATTATAATTTTTTTAAAAAATCTGTCAAAGCTCACTCTTCTAGACCAAAGAAGCAATTCCTGTCATAATGATGATGGGCTTACAATATATTTCATATTACATAGCATTGCTGTTTAGGCATTTGTGAATACAAGGCCATGATCTAAAGTCTCTAGGACATAGTTAAGATTTTTAATAAACATCAGCAATAAGAAAGTTCAAGAACCAGGCACTGGTGGCTCATACCTATAATCCTAGCTACTTAGGAGACTGAGATCTGAGGATCGTGGTACAAAGCCACCCCGGGCAGGAAAGTCCGTGAGACTCTTATCTCCAATTAACCATCAGAAAACCAGAAGTGGCATTGTGGCTCAAGTGGTAGAGCACTTGCATTGAGCTGAAGAGCTCAGGGACTGCAACAGGCCCAGAGTTCAGGCCCCACGACCAAAAAAAAAAAAAAAAAAGTCCAAGGAAAAACACTTGAAAACATTATTTTGTAACTGTACTCAATTTACCATGTTTAAGTGAGTAATAACTGTAATTCACCTGTAATACAGCTTTCTGCTCTTCTCCACAAGTGCCAAAGATTTCACCACGGTGACTGAAGAGTTCATCCATTGAGTCTTTATGACGAATGATATCAATAGAGAAAGCCTTTGAAAAGTAAACAATAGTTAAGTCAAGAAGTAAATTACAGGGTGTTGGTGGCTCATGCCTATAATCCTAGTTACACAGTAGGCTGAGATCTGAAGTTCACAGTTTGAAGTCAGCCTAGGCAGAAAAGTCCTTAAGCCTCATCTCTAACCAACCAGCAAAAAGCTGGAATGGAGCTCAAGGAGTAGAGTGAGCTCAAGGAGTAGAGTGCTAACCTTGAGCAAAAAAAGCTCAGGGATAGCACCCAGGCCCTGAGCTCAAGCCCCAGGAGACAGACAGACAGATAGACAGACGGACGGACGGACGGACAGACACACACACACACTCACAAAAAAGAGGGGGGAGGGGAGGGAAGTAAAAGGATCCTGAGTCTGCGTTAGTGAAAGGTAAAGCACAAATTTTAATACTTTGCTTATCCAAAATCTTTAATGCTTATCCTTTAACTTACAGAAACATGTTTCTCTCTGAAAATCATTCAGGAAACTGTTACTCTTTCCTGGATCCCTGGACCAAATTACATTTTTCACAAAGCCTTAAAACCCCCCAAAATAAATACATCATCCTTCACAAGAAAAAAACAAAAGCAAACAACAAAATCCCAAACTTTTCTTTACCATACTCACCAACCAAATACATAGAAAAGCTATCTTCAAGACACTATAAGCTATTGATAAATCTACTACTTGAGGACACTTCAGGGGGTGCTCTGGTGTTTCATCCTTACCTTTTGTACCTGAAGCTGAGCTGTGGTCTGGTCCTGTTCAAGGCGAATTGGCCCTAAGGCCATCAGCTTTCGTTTTGTTTCAGCAACCCAAGCTAGTTCTGCATCAGCAGCTTGCTCATACTAAAAAACATAATGAGAAAAAATTAACAAGTTACATACAGCCAAGGTCTCCTTCCTAGAACTGCAATTTATCTAACACAGTAAGGCCTGGATTGTCAGTAATAGTTTATATTTCATAAAATTAAAGCAGAAGAATTTCCTAAAAATCACAAGTCAAGATACAAATTAGAGCTGATCATATTTCCACTCTTTTAAAAGCAGTTCTAGGGGCTGGGAAGGTGGCTCAGTAGTAGAGCGCTTGCCTTGCATGCATGAGGCCCTGGGTTCGATTCCTCAGCACCACATAAGCAAAAAGAAAAAAGCTGGAAGTGACACTGTGGCTCAAGTGGTAGAGTGCTAGCCTTGAGCTGAAGAGCTGAGGGACAGCACCCAGGCCGAGTTCAGGCCCCATGACCTGACTGCCCCCACCAAAAAAAAATAAAAGAATAAAAAAAAAAAAGCAGTTCTAGAATCTAGCAGGTAGGTCTACAGCTAGAAACAACAGAAACTGACATCTTTAAAAAAAATATGCCTTTTATCAGATGTTTTTGTAAAATTGCATTTTCTGCCAACATTTTTCCTACCTCAACACTGAGCAGTTCTGTTTTGTTTTGCCAGTTCTGGGGCCTGGGCAAGTAATAGTTTTAGATGTTTAAACATGAACTTAAAATTGCAATGGACAGATAAGTAAAGTTAACTTTAAGTATTCACTTGTAGCGGAAGAAGTGTAAGACCCCAAAAGAACACCAGATCTTTAAATGGTTATGCAATAATAAAACCCCAAAATATGATCTATATGCATGCTGGTCATGAAGCTCCCTCAATCTTTTATATTGTTGTCAACCTATGCTAATATAGTTTTAGTACTCCTTATCAGAAACAGAAGTGTTTGCAATGTTAGTTTTTTGGATTTTGAAATACTTATAGACCCAACTTTATTGGTTTAGCATTGTTAACCTTGAATATTTGAAATGTTCCAACATTCTGAACTTTTTTTTTGGTCAGTCATGGGGCTTGATCTCTGGGCCTGAGTGCTGTCCCTCAGCTCTTCAGCTCAAGGCTAGCATGCCACCACTTGAGCCATAGCACCACTTCTGGTTTTTTTGGTGGTTTATTGGAGATAAAAGTTTCATGGCTTTCCCAGCCCATGCTGGCTTTGAACCTCAATTCTCAGATCTTATAGCCTCCTGAGTAGCTAGGATTACAGGCATGAGCCTGGGCACTGTCTGTCCCTGAACTTCTATTGCTCAAAGCTAGCACTCTACTACTTGAGCCACAATGCCACTTTTCTGTTTATGTGGTACTGAGGAACTGAACCCAGGGCTTCATGCATGCTAGGCAAGCACTCTACCACTAAGCGATAATCCCAGCCCCTAAATTTTAGATGAAGAGAAAATTAAGTTTCTCCCTAAGCACAATAAGTTGTATATTGAAATATCAGGCCAAGCTTAGAGATAACCCTAAAGATACATTGGGGATACATGGGGGGTGAGGGATGGTCTTGGGAGTCAGAAAAAACTTTTGCATAATTCATAAAGCATTTGCTGCTGGGTACTAGTGGCTCATGCCTGAAATTCTAGCTACTTAGGAGGCTGAGATTTAAAGATCCTAGTTCAAAGCCAGAGCAAGCAGTAACGTCCCCATGAGACTTCTATATCCAATTAACCACTCAGGAAGTTGAGCTGTGGCTCAAAGTGGTAGAGTGCTAGCCTTGAGTAAAAGAGCTCAGGGACAGCACCCATGGTCCTGAGTTCAAGCCTCATAACCAACAACAACAAAAAGCATTTGCTTATCATTATGAATCCAAGGAGTCATGCTATTATGCTTGTAATTCAGCACTCAGTAGGTTGAGGGAATAGGATTTGGAGTTTGAGGCCAGCCTGGGCTATGTAGGGAAACTGTCTTAAAAAAAAAAAAAAAAGAGGAAGAGGGGATATTCAGCTACAGACTAAAGCAGATAACTTTCCTCCAGAAGCAGGAAGGAAAAAAGATCAAGGGAAATATGACACCCATGTTTACTGAGAGAAGTTTCTATTTTGGATGCCTGGTATTTTGGATTGCATATTTGATAGTAATTATAGTTCTTAGTTCCATCCCCTCTTTCATCTAATGTTAAGACAGATGATTATTTCAAACTGAACTTTTTAGGTTCTATCACTACTGGTCAAATCCTTAAGGAAAGACCTCACATTAATTCTGAGTTTTTGTCTATTCAAAGTACCTAAGTATTTTGGGTCAAATCTGAATCCATTCTCACAAACTTCTACCCAATTGTTTTCCATCACTGAAATGTTTGTTGCATCATTATTAATGCTGATTTCATTACTGCTCTTCCTGAGCCTGTATGTATGCAGGTCATAGTACTGTACCTCACAGATCTATCTTCACTGTCCAAAATATTAGGGCTGAGGTATTATAAACATTACCTGTTGTGATCTCTGAATAGCAGCATCAATTTCATCCACTCTTTGTCCAACAGTGTCACTGACCAGTTTATACTGCTCGTTGGCATCAGACACAAGTTTATCCAGCCCTTCTCTGGCTCTCCATGGCACCAGTTCTAGGAGAGCACGGCTCACCTCATTTACTGTGTCCAATACTAGCCTGTGCTCCATGACCTCCTTCTTCAATTCCTAAGGAGGGAAAAAAGTTTTCAGGCCATATCTTGCTAAATAAAGAACATTAGCAGCTGTACTGGGTAGAAAGTGCTTTCTCTTCTACACATCCCAGCAGGGTACCGACCTCCTTCCTTCAGTTTTTTTTTTTCCTTTTTTCAGATTTTTCAATTATTTTGAAGCCTGACTTTCAGGATTAGCTCTTGCTTACTTATAACTTTCTGGAATACCCGAGCCAGACTGTGGGTAAAACAATGAGCCTTTCTTCTTTTCCTTTATCTTAACAGAATTGAAAAGCAATGTTTTAATCATGGGCATTTAAACTAATACCTACACAATATTTCTATGCATCTAGACCTGCACTAGATCCTGCAGGAGAATCAAATATGAAGACTGCAAAGCAGTCTTTAGAGAATGAATCATGAAGATTAATTGTAAAATGCTACACAGCAAGCAAACTTCCTAGGGATATAAGATTTAACTTCTTTCCTCTTTAGGCAACAAGTGTAATACATACACATACACACACACACACACACACACACACACACATATCTTAATGTCAGATTTTGTTGTTTGTTAGTATACAAGGCAGAAGTTTTTGGCTTAGATTTAAAATAAAGGTGATAAAATTCGGGCAAAAATAAAACCTTTTTTTTTTTTCTTTTTACAGTGTGAAATGACAGCTCACCTTCTGTCTTTGCTGAAACTGGGGTATCTGCTCCCCTGTGGGAGATTGTCCTCCACTGGCTGCCAGCTCCTCCTCCACCTCCCTCAGCCACCCAGTCAGTTCCTCATATGTAGACTGGAACTTGGTGGCAAGCTGCCGTGCTTGCTCTAAAGTTCTGAGGGCCTTGGAGCTGGCAACTGTGATGTCTGTGTAGCGGGTCTTTATACCATCTAGTTTCTCTTGGATAAGTAACACCTCTTCACCTATAGAGAAAAGTATATAATTATTAATATTTAAGAGATCTGAGAATGAAGGTGTTCCTCCAATGAATGCCCTATGTGCAAATAGAGCTTAAATTTCATTTCTCCCTGTGATTATGAATTTGCCTATCATCTCCTACTAAGGGTTACATGAGATATAAATCTTCAACTTGATAAAAGAAACCACTTTTGAGTTTAAGGTCTAAGTTGGGCTGCAGGTGTTTCTAGATAGTCCCAGCACTTTGTAGTTACTGCTAGCATTTGACCTACTGATAGGTCAAATAATTATATATGCCCATAATTATATATGAGACAAGTAAGTACAATAGTTTTCAAAAGATTTTGCCTACAAGCACATGGAAATAAAATCAGTGAACACTGACCTTTTATATGAAAGAGAAATGGCTAGTGCTGGCTAGTGCAAGACGCTTATTTCCCTGGATATATAACTGTCTTTGAAACAAAAAAGATTCTAAGAGACCCACTTTTCAAAGTACCTGTAGTTTGTTTTAGAAGAGCCTGACCGTTTTTAATAGCTTGATCTACATTCTTCTTTCTATTAACAATCTCTTCATTTAGAGCCTAAAAGGAAAGAATACTGTTAGTTCCACAACAAAGAAAAGAAGTAAAATCTGTAAAGAACTAATTTAAACAGATAAGTACCAATTTAAAATCATATATTTGATTTTTTTAGCATCTCCTTGATTATCTATTATTCAAAATAAAACAGGATGTCTTTAGGCATACTTTCATTCTAAGAATAGATTTGAGATTAAATTAGGTTTATTAATCTATCAGTACCAAGCCTGAACCTAAAAAAGGTAGAAGTGAAATTCACCAATAATGTCTACATCTAAAAGAGTAACACCTAGTGCAAGTGGCTCATGCCTGTAATCCTAGCTATTTGGAGGCTGAGTTCTGAGGATTGTGGTTCAAAGCTAGCCTACTCAAAAAAGTCAGTAGGACTCTTATCTCCAATTAACCACCAGAACACCGGAAGTGGTGCTGTGGCTCAAGTGGTAGAGCGCTAGCCTTGAGCTGAAGAGCAGAGGGACAGTGCCAGACCCAGAGTCCAAGCCCCATGACTGACAAAAAAAAGAGTAAGACAAAAAATTCAACACAAGTCAATAAAAACACACTGACAAGATTCTGGCAAAAAATTCTCTATATTTGAAGTTTATAAAGCAAAGTAATACTGTGTTACTTTAAAAAATTACTTTGCCTATTTTTACTACACTCAAAGAGATTTCATAAAAATACATTGCAAGCTGGGTACTGGTGATTCAACTCAGTAATCCTAGCTACTCAGGAGACTGAGATCTGAGGATTGTAGTTCAAAACCAGTGTGGACAGAGAAGTTCAACAGACTCATCTCCAATTAACCAGAAAAATAGCTTGGCTGGAGATGTGGTTCATGTGCATAAAGCACCAGCCATGAGCAAAAAATCCAAGTGAATGTACGAGGCTTTGAGTTCAAGCCCTATCCCTAGCTAAAAATAAGGAAAGAAAGGCAGAGCAAGTGGCAAGGTACTTAACTAGCAAGTTTAAAGCCTTGAGTCCAATCTCTAGTACTGATGGAAAACATGGAAATAGGCATATTCTTCTATTAGGAAGACATAGGGTGGGCTGGGAATGTGGCTTAGTGGTAGAGTGCTTGCCTAGCATGTATGAAGCCCTGGGTTCAGTTCCTGAGTACCACATAAACAGAAAAAGCCAGAAGTGGTACTGTGGCTCAAGTGGTAGAATGCTATCCTTCAGCAAAAGAAGCACAAGGACAGTGCCCAGGCCCTGAGTTCAAGCCCCAGGACTAGCCAAAAACAAAACCAAACAAAAAACACATAGGGTAGGTTCCAGTAGTTCATGTCTATAATCCTAATTGGGATTATAGTTCAGGATTAAAGTCCAAGGCTAGACTGAGCAGAAAAGTTGTTAGACTCTATCTACAAAATAATCAGCATAAAAGCAGAGCTGGAGGTGTAGCTTAAATGTAGAATACCAGCTAAGCAAGCAATATTTTAAAAGTTATAACTGCATGATCAAATCGTAGGCACTAGTGAGAGTATTCTCAAATACATTCTCTTCCATAAATCTGCTGAAATGGAATTCTAGTATTCTATTACCTGATGATGTACACCATGATTTGGAGATGAAATGGGACCTGACAATATCTTTTATCACCTTCTAGAATTATTCAGTTCATCAAGCACTAGAATTTTCACCTAAAAAAAGATTAGTACTGCCAGGTGCCTGTGACTCATGCCTATAATCTTAGCTACTCAGGAGGCTGAGATCTGAGGATTGTGGTTAGCCTGGGCAGGAAAATCCATGAGACTCTTATCTCCAATTAACCACCAGAAAACTAGAAGTAGCATTGTGGCTCAAGTGGTAGAGCACTAGCCTTGAGCAGGAAACTCAGAGACAGTGCCCAGGCCCTGAGTTCAAGCCCCAGGATGGACAAAAAAAAAAAAAAAAGGATTAGTATTTAACACCAAATGAACCACTAAACTACATACATACACATAAAATAAGTGTTTGGAATGAAAAAGAAAGAAAATAAAAAAGAAATGAAAAGAAGAGAAATACATCAAAATGACAAAATAACTTAGTAACATAACCAATAAGAATGGAAAACACAAATACCAGGTGGTCAGCATGCTGTTTCTGCAGGACTTCCTGTCTGTAATCCTTTACGAACACTGAACTGAGCTTGTCCTCAACCTCAGCCAGCCAGTTGAGCACCTCCACCTCATCTTCCCCAAACAGTCTAGCATTGCACAATGCTTGTTCAAACAGGGCTGCCTTCCGACAGCACCGGTCTTGAATCTCACTGTATCGAGCCTGCAATGAGTCTAGCTTTTCTGACAATACACCCTGCTCTGCAGGACATGTCAGAGAGGAGAGAGACTGCCCAATATTGACTGCCTGGTGCACATCTGTTGCATGGTTTTCTATTTCTTCCTTCAGAGCCTGGAAATCCAGATGGAAAAAATAAATAGCAGAAATAAAATAAATGAAAGGCAAACATAAAACAATGAATAACAAATGATATTACAAATTAAAAGATTCATCTACTATAGGGTAAAAATAACATAAAATATGGAGTAAAAGCCATTCTATTTCACTGATGGTAGCCTATTAGTCAATTTCTACTTTTACTTCAATGATGTGGGTATTTCAATAGCTGACTCTGTTTTAAATTAAACTTAAAAACAAAACCCAGGTACCAGTGGCTCATGCCTATAATCCTAGCTTTTCAAGAGGCTGAGATCTGCCTATCATGGTTCAAAGCCAGCCCATGCAGGGAAGTCCATGAAACTCATCTCTAATTACCTACCAAAAAGCCAGAAATAGAGCCATGGCTTAAGTGGTAGAGCACTACCCATCAACAAAAGAAGCTCAGGGACAGTGCCCAGCCCTGAATTCAGGCCCCAAGACTGATACAATAAATAAATGAATAAATACCCATAAAATATATCTTCTAGAATGTTGCAGGTGGTTCTTAAGTTCTAGGATTTCTACCATCATTTATATGCTTTGTTAACCACAATTCCCTCCTACCTTGTGTCGAATGATCTGTTGCTGTATTTTGGCAGTCTGAGTGCCAACAGGTTCTGAGTTAGCAAGCTTTTTCTCTGTGACAGATAAGAAGTCAGAAATAGGTTCAGTTGTCTCATGGAATTGTTTGGCCAGGACCAGGATATCTTCCAGCTGTTTTTGCCTACATAAATATATAAAACAAACTGCTTAAGCACAAAGTTACATTATGACTCATACTAGTATCAGATATAATTTAAGTCTTTACTAGGTGTAGTTTAAATACTAGTAGTAAACAGATAATACATTAGAAAGCACTTTGCTGTTGCAAAGGTTTCAAAAGCTGTTACTTTATTCTGATCTGGTTCTAACCATGCTCAGGGAGAGCACCCAAGCTCTGATTTTTACCTCCAAGATCTGACAGAAAATATTACAGAACAGACATAGTTTACCTAATATAGAGTGAGGAGAAGAGTAGAAACTAAGAAACAGATTAGAGTCAAATGCAAGATGTCTTTGAAGGCTGAATTAAAACATTTACATTTCATTTATACTCAACAAGGAGACATTAAATAATGTGAGCAATGATCAAAGGTATACTTGAAAAGAGTTGATCCATCCATAGCCCAAGGATGAGAAAAGGTCAAGTAGTAAGAAAGGGATTAGTTAGGCAGGAACCTCAAATAGCTCAAGTAGGAGCTCCTAAGTCATGAGCTGAGGTAGGGCAGTGAAAATCAGAAAAAAGGATACACAATAAAGACGATCTCTCTAGAAGTTAAAAAGACAGAATTTAGCATCTGGATACATGTGGATATAAAATGGAGGTACCATTTACTGGATGCTAAAGGTATCATTAATAGAAATGGACACTAAAAGGGGAAAAATGGTGCAAAATTAAATTATTTCAATTTTGTTTCTTTTACTATTATAGGCAAATCAGACTTTGTAACTAGATGAGAAATAAGCAAACTAGGGGACCCAAAATGGCAATTGAACAGTAGGGAAACACCACAGCTCTCTCCAACCAAATAGTGCGTTCAAGTACCAAATAGTGAGTTCAAGTTCCAACGCTTGGTTTCCCCAAGAGACCGACAACAGCAAAAAGGTGAACATTCAAAGAAATACAGGATAAAAGATAAAACTTCAGAACCTACATAAAGATGAAAAAGTGTGAAGACCCTTCCCCCACCCCTTGCTGGCAGCTCGGCTCTGTGCCAAGCTGCTAGAGCGGCCTGGCCTGCAGCTGCTGGAAACACCAAAGCCACAGCGGTCAGTAGAACACCAGCACAGAAGACTCCAATGGTGCTGATGCCAGTGCCAGTGCTGGACCCAGACCATGTAAACAGAGAAAACTCAGAGCTCAGAATCTGACTGAAGACCCTTCCCCCACCCCTTGCCAGCGGCGTGGTTCCAAGTGGCCTTGCCTGTGGCCACCAGGGACTCCAGAGCCAGAGGGGTCTGTAGAAAGCCAGCGTAGAAAATGCCTACAGCGCTAGACTTGGACCGTGTAAACAGAGACCGTGAATCTCAGACCCAGAGCCCCCACCACCCAGCCCAGCCCACAAGCATCTCAATGGAATGCAGTGGCCACCAGTGATCACCACCAGCAGAAGTTTGACATGTGTGTCCAGGGTGGGAGAACCAGCAGCCCAGGTCCACAAGACCCTAGCTGAAGGTGGGAACCGAGCTAGCGGGCCTCAGTAGTGGGCCATGGAAGAAGCCCAACATGTGTATCACAGGCTAGGGGTAGGGCAGCTCAGGCCACCAGTACCTGGCTAAAGTTGGGAACTGTGAGCAGGCTCCAGCAACTGGTAGAATACATCCAGCCCATCTGGTTTTGCCAAGAATGCCCCTGGGAGGGAGCATGAACAGTCTAGGCTACCAGTCCTTGGATGAAGTCAGGCACTGCCTGTGGGCTCCAGCAGGTGGTTGAATGAGCCCCACCTGTGTCCCAGGCAGGAGCCAGAGCTGTCTAAACCACCTGTCCCTGACAAGTCAGGAACTGAGTGTTCGCCTCAGCAGAGAATCTAACAAGAGTGAGCCCTATGTGGGTCAGAGTAGCAGCTGGAGGCCAGCCTCTCCCCCAACAGAATGGGGACCAGGAAAAATCTTTCTCAGCCAGCCCAGGGCTGAGAGCAAGCTTCAACAACTGACCCAGGAACCAACCCAGAACCAAGTGTAGACAGCTACCTGCTGACCAAAATAGAGTTTGGGATTCATCTCCAATAACCCCTGAATCCTCATGAGAAAATCACAGTGAAAAATTATAAGATTCATCAACAGCCAAGACAGCAAACCATCCCCCAAAGGCCAGCAGCCACCCAGGGAAGAACTCCAGTGAAAGCAAAAATGAAATAGAAGACATATGTTACATACAAGAGTTGATAGAGGCAATGAATGACTCAAGAATTAAAGCAAGAAATGGACCAGAAAATTAAAGAACAAAGAAATGAATTATCAAAAGAGATCCAGGATTTAAAATAAGAGATGCACTCAAAAATAGATTCAGTATACACCTCTTTAAAAGACAAAATTAATACTTTGAGAACCAACATAGAAATCATAAATGGTGTGGGCTGGGAAGGTGGCTCAGTGGTAGGGTGCTTGCCTTGCATGTATGAGGCCCTGGGTTCAATTCCTCAGCACCACATAAGCAGAAAAAAACAGAAGTGGCACTGTGGCTCAAGTGGTGGAACGCTAGCCTTGAGCTGAATAGCTGAAGGACAGCGCCCAGGCCCAGAGTTCAGGCCCCACAACCAAAAAAAAAAAAAAAAAGAAATCATAAATGGTTCAATTTCCTCCATGCAAACCACAATGGAAGCCATAGTTAATAGAATGAATGAAATAGAAAATAGAATATCAAGTACTGAAGACAAAATGCAGCAACTGGGAAAAAAAAGTCAGATATGGAAAAAAATCCACTCAAAATATGCCAAAGGGAAGTCCAAGAATAAGCAGACAGTGCCAAGAAATTTAACCTTCATATAATTGGGATTGACGAAGGTGAGGAATATCAGAACAGAGGGATGCAACACTTTAATAAGTATCGCCAAATTTCTCCAATCTTAAGCCGGGCACTAGTGGCTCACACCTGTAATCCTAGCTACTCAGGAGGCTGAGATCTGAGGATCATGGTTCAAAGCCAGCAATGGCAGGAAAAGTCAGTGAGACTCTTATTTCCAATAAACTACTCAGAAAACTGGAAGTGGCACAGTGGCTTAAGTGGTAGAGCACTAGTCTTGAGCTGAAGAGCTGAGGGACAGTGTTCAGGTCCAGAGTTCAAGCCCCATGACCGACAAAAAAGAAAAGAAAAGAAAATCTTACCTACATAAGTGTAAGTAAACAGGATCCCAGGAGGAACACTTCTAGGCACATCATAGTAAAAATGCTAGATCTGAACAATAAAGAAATGACCTTGCATGCAGCAAAAAGAAAGGAGCTATACTACAGGAAAAAATCAGAATCACTGCAGATCTCTCCATTCAGACACTGTATGCAAGGAAAGCCTGGGAAAGTACCATTTGAGCCCTGAGACCCAATAACTGCCAACCCAGACTGGTATATCCAGCAAAGCTAGCATTTACATTTGATGAAGAAACTAAATTTTTTAATAGTGAAGAAAAACTAAATGAATTAATAAAAAAAATAGACTAGCAGTACAAAGAATACTAAGAGGGGGAACACAATTTGAAGAAAACAAGATCAGGGATCCATATCAGACAGACATCACTAGAAGACCATCTTAGTAATCACAGGAGGAAAGGAAAGAAGAAAAACTTAGGAAAGCAGGAAAATGATAGGAAACACAATGTACTTTTCTAATAACTATAAATATTAATGGAGAGCTGGGAAAGTGGCTCAGTGGTAGAGCGCTTGCCTTGCATGCCTGAGACCCTGGGTTTGATTCTCAGCACCACATAAGCAAAAAGAAAAAAGCCGGAAGTGGTGCTGTGGCCCAGTGGTAGAGTGCTAGCCTTGAGCTGAAGAACTGAGGAACAGTGCCCAAGCCCAGAGTTCAGGCCCCACGACCGGACCCCCCCCCAAAAAATAAAGTAAAATAAAATAAATATTAATGGACTCAATTCACCAATCAAAAAATGAACTGCAGATTGGATCAGAAAACAAGATCCAGGAGGAGGCTGCAATGCTTGATAAGAAATGTATTCATTATCTTGCCCATGTAATTGTAACCCCTCTGTACAGTATGTTCACAAAAAAAAAAAGAAAAAAAAAAGAAAACAAGATTCATCCATTTGTTGTCTTCAAGAGACCCATCTCATAGCCAAATATACAAACTGAAAGTGAAGGGATGGAGGAAGATCTACCATGCAAATGCTTCCAGCAAGAAGGCAGAAGTTGCTGGGTGCTGGAAGCTCACACCTGGAATCCTAGCTACTTAGGAGGCTGAGATCTGAGGATCATGGTTCAAAGCCAGCCCAAGCAGGAAACTCTGTAAAACTCTATCTCCAATAAACCATCAGAAAATGGGAAGTGGCACTGTAGCTCAAGTGGTAGAGTGCTAGCCTTGTGCTGAAGAGCTGAGGGGACAGTGCTCAGGCCCAGAGTTCAAGCCCCATGACTGACCAAAAAAAAAAGAAGAAGGCGGCAGGAGTTGCCATCCTGATATCTGAAAAAATAAACTTTGCATTAAAATCAATACAAAAAGACCAAAAACGACATTATATATTAATACAGGGAACAATCCAAGAAGAGGATATCACCATTATCAATTTTTATTCTCCAAACATTGGTGCACCCAAATACATTAGGCAAATACTCTCAGATATACAAGAAAAAAATAGATCCAAATACAATAATACTAGGAGACTTTTTATTTTTGCGTCCGGTCATGGGGCCTGAAGTCTGGGCCTGGGTGCTGTCCCTCAGCTCTTCAGCTCAAGGCTAGCACTCTACCACTTGAGCCACAGCGCCACTTCCGGTTTTTTTCTTTTTGCTTATGTGGTGCTGAGGAATCGAACCCAGGGCCTCAGGCATGCTAGGCAAGCACTCTACCGCTGAGCCACCTTCCCAGCTCCAATACTAAGAGACTTTCATACTCTACTCTCACCAAAGGACTGGTCTACCTGTCCTATCTATCCTCCGAATTGAATGATGCTATATCTCAAGTGGACTTAATTGACATCTACAGAGTTTTCCACCCAACAACAACCCAGTATACATTTT